CGAAGCTGTGTTACACATGGCTATTTTTTAATTTGAAAACTGTAAAGGTAACAGTGCCTAAAGGCAAAAATAAAATAAATTAAATATATGAAAACGTTTGTTCTCGTACTTCAATATTCGACGAATATATTTTCAATTTTCAAAGATTAATTTTGTTATAATAATAAAATAAAATAATCTTATTATATTTATCACAATGCATGTGCTAATATTACGTGTACGAAGTGAGGTGAAAAAGTAGAAAAAAATAATAATTCGTACAAATTACTTTATCTACATGTAAAATAATTCAAAACTTGTGGTTGTTAAGTTTAGGTACCTACTCAAACTTTTTCGATTAAAACAAATAATACTATACGATTTGAAGGCGCAATAAAACAAAACCATAATCTTATTTTGGTTATCTATATAAACATAATATTATGTTTTAAGAAAAATAATATAATAATTCAATGTTTTACTAAACAAATAAAAATACCTAGTTATTCAAAAAGAAAATTTGAATTATTTCTCGAATTTCTGATGTTTACTTATTAGTATGAAATTGCTTTTATTATTTAATTCAACACTATTATTATTTCTTTTTATTATTGTAAACTTATAGGATAAACTAGTCAGTTTAGTTTAGAAAAAATATTTAATTTTCCTATACAAATAAAAACTACAGTACCAGTATTTAAAATACTCTGACTTTTAGCTTCTATAAATAATAATCATAATATTTTAAACGAGACCGAGAAAGGTTTAATAAGTAAATTAAACAGTAAATTATTGTTATTAACCATCACGTAGCTATAATATACATAATGACCAAAATAATATTTTTTAAATAACAATTTGCGGTCGTGCGTTTGACACTCAACACCTTAAACGATTTTTATTTTTAAATTTTGCTACTTATATTTTCGCACCGCTTATTTTATTTAATTTAGGCACATATACCTAGTTTAATAACAGTAAAATATTCTTTACTTAACGAGCTTTGGCTCGCAACATTTTTATCAAGATACCTAGGTATTATATGTATACATTTTAGAAGTATTTTGCCGTCATTAAAATACTAATAATTTGGTAGATAGGTATCGCTCGTTCGTCGTTGTCGTTTTTTTTGATGATTATTCGTTTTGGATGATATTACGGCGATGGATTTACAAATCAGTACAGGTATATTTGTTTAGTCAAGGAACACTTGAAAATTTATAGAGGTAGTTAAATCCACGGTAAATGTAATTATTTCGCGTAGCTGCACGTAATAAATTGTTCGGAAACCAAAAATTTGTTTTGAAATCGCAAAAAAAAAAAAAAAAAACGTAGGTAGTCACATAAGAAGGCTCGCTAACTCGTAGCTCGTACGATTATAAATTATTATAATATTCGTGTGTTCAACGGTTTCTAAACGTTTACGTATGCGTAAACTACCTACCTACCGGTTTTTTTTTTGATTTTTTCTCCCTATTTTGTCGACCGATCACCGGAACGTGGACCGTGCGAAATTGCTCAGCGTAGGAGAAGACTGACGACGACGGCGGATGCAGGCTGTCGCCCCGTGAAAAATAAAATATATTATCTTCTCGGCCAGTCGATTTCCATAGCCCGTCCTGCCCTCGTCAAACGACCAGGTGTATCTCCCTCCCCGCGTTTTCCTGTTATCGTCAAGAACCCTATTTACGGTGAACATTTAAGTTAGAAAAAAAAAAAAAGATCTCGCTTTATAACAAAAAAATAAACACAACTCGCGACGGTGTATTTTTTTTTCTGTAATATCGAAAATGTGGCCGAAATTTCTCGCTATTTATCGTGCGCACGTACATTACGCTAAGTATAATAATATACAGGTCGTGGTATACCTGTGCGGACATCAATAGAATCGAAAAACGACCGATAACATCTTTTGGACGCGAATAACACGGTCGAGGAAAGGTGTTTTTTTCTCTTTCTAATCCACCCCATCGTCGACTATCTATAGGCAATAGTTATTATATATGTACTCGTAATATTATAATAGCACGGCCATCGCGATGTCCGTGTCCATCATCGATTTCCTACAGTTTTCTCGATTTCCCGGAAGTCTACCGGCCCAAAGATGAGTAGTAGTAGTCGTAAGTATATATACTAAATAGGTACCCATACAATGGATTAAATGTGTACATAGAAGCAACAACGCATTAATATTACGCGCATCGATTCCATTCAAAAGCGGAAGATACGTTAGGTCCCGAGCGATCGCCACCACACAATAAATCACTCCGACAGTCGTATACAATATTACAATATACCGCTACTTACCTATAATATAAGAATATGTTACCTACCAGTATATAAATCTATAATAAAATATATAGTTTTAGACGTTTCCGTCGGATCTGAATACTATATCGTTAAACTGAAATCCCGAGTAGATAGAGAGACTAAGAGGATTATAATATTATTATCAGTGTCCGGAACTTAATGTAAATAAAAAGGCGTTGAAAACTCTATTAAACTCTTAAAAAGCCTAATAAGTCCATAAAATCAGTTAAAGTGCTGAAATAAGTAATTAAAAAGTAAAACAAACTAGTAAAGTATAAACCGAGTAGAAAATATAGAAGAGAAGTAGAAAAATTAGAAAAGATCATTTTTGTAAAATATCGATAAACAAAAAAGCACTATCAAATTTTATTCTCGTTGTTATATGACGTAAATTTCCATAGCACTATGCTAGATTTATTGCCTAGCCAAAAAAATAGGCAACTTTTTTAAGTACCGAATCCTACAATATTATTTATTTTTCGTACGTGGATTACCGAAGATCACCGAAAAATCCTATTTAAGAACACCATATTTTGTACATATAAAAACTGAATTTATACGTTTTGAATGCCACTCTGATTGTGGTTTATAGTTAACTTTAAACTTTATTAAGTTTTGTTAAGTATAATATTATAATAACATTATTGTAAAGTATTCTCAAGGAGAAAAAAAACCGAGCAAAACATGAAGTTTTCTTTTTCAAACAAATATAACTTACGAGCATTATAATATTAAATCATATTACAAGCGCTTTTTTTTTCATATAGGAATTCAGCGATAGGAACTTTAATGAAACATAATATGAATAACATATGAATAAACTTGGCCGCTTTATAGGTTAGCTTTGTTTGTACAATGTACATTTACGTAAAACCTGCAGCAGTTAGTAGCCAGTAGGTATATATGTTGAAATATTCATGAGAGCACGGATATTCGTCTAAATATTTAAAATTTTCAAAAAAAAAAAAAAGTTTTTGTGACCGCGAAAAACCCGTTCACTTGCACGTCACTACGTTCGTAAATCATTATGAACTGTTTATAATTCGGCGTGGCACGATAATACAGGGTAATAAATTAATATTGAACCATCAATGGACGAACAATAATTATTACGGTATAGGTTGGATAGTCGTCTCAAAATGTCTATATAATTAGACACCTAATCCTTTAGACGTTTTAATTAAAAAAAACTTGCCAAAGTTTAATTGTTACTTTTATTTTAAATAATGTAGGGGATAGCAAATTCCTAGATCATTTCAATGATGGTTGTGATTTTCATCATAATATATAAGGTGTCCTGCAGCGTTATCCTTTTACTAAAAACTCTGTTAAAATTCATTTTTTTTTTAATTAGGTTTTGTGTGAGAGTAACACATATGTATAGAAAAATAAAATTTGTATTTTTATCCCTTAATCGGAGAAAACAATAACTTTTTAAAATTTTCACAATAGCCATTTTGTAAAATATATTATTCTAAAAATTGTAATGTATTATACATTTCTTAGTAATAATGGCTTTAGTATACAGAAAATAGACGTGAAAACAACTGTCCATATTCAATATAAGAAAAGGAATCACCGTACTAATTGTGATCCGTGTGATTTGTGAAAATTCAATAAAATGATAGCATAAAAAGTTATTTTTTTTAATAACTAACGAGATGAAAATAAAAATTTAATTTTTCTTTACGTATGTATTCCCCTCGGACATAATCCGATTGAAAAAAAAAAAATATATAAAAACATTAATATTAACAGAATTATTAGCATAATGATAACATTATAACACTGTAAGGCACTCTGTATTATGAATGTTAATGTTTTATTAACATTTCGTAACAAAACAATTATTGTAGTCTATTCGTCGTACCACCGTATCCACAATCTGAAACAATTTAAGTAAGCTATTTATTTTTGAAGGACGCGTTTGGTGTTGCCATATTTTATTTAATTATAATACAATACAATTTAAAATAATGAATTAATTATTTACCAATTAAATAAAAAATGAAAAAATACAGGTTATGAATATATATAAAAATTATTATGAAAACTAATTTAATATCAACAAATTACTTAACCTATTAGTATTGATGCCTAATAATAAAATATTGAGCCATCTGAGCCACAAAATAACGACGAAATATAATGTTCGTATATTATAAAACTTAAAAGTGTCAGTGACAGGAGGAAGTTTCCATAAATTGTTAGTCGATTAGATGTCATGCATACAAATAACGAGAAAAATATAGAATTTTAAAATTCATGGATTATATAGGTTTCAACCCGAACGGAAGAAATTAGTCAATCAATTCAGATGATTTTGTTGTTTGTTTGAAGGAATATATGTAAAATTTACCACACGAGGTTATTAGTGTAAATTCCCTAGACATTTTTTTAGTAAGTTGGTGAGGTCAGTGGTTTTTGATGATATGTGGTATTTTCAACCTTTTAGTTTTTCTCGCTATCTTTTATATTTTTGTACAAGTTATTGTAAAAATTAGTAATAGCTACATTATCAAGGTAGACCACTATGTTTTGTTCATAGATTAAAAAACAATAATAAATTGGATTTGTTTAATTATAGGGTGGTTAGGATCATAAATTAAATTACCATAATTATTAATTTTCTTATTCAAAATGCGTTTCATTAGGCTTCAGTCATATATAATAAACCCCACATTTGAACCATTACATAGTACGTGGGGTGGGGGAGGGTTGAGAAAAGTGTATAAATCTGGCGCACAGCACTAACCGTAGTTCATTTATTTAGTTTATCAATCCACCGGTGTACTAGTTTTGCAAACCGATTAACGCTGTTGAATATATTACAAATAATATACTTGTTTATGTATAATAAAGTATTATACATAAAAAGAGTGTTTTCGTTGGGAAAAATGACTCCGTCAAAATTACAAGTATCCTTATTATTATGCAGCCTGGCCTTATTGTTCCCGTGTTTCGTAAATGTGAGTATACAAATTTAATAAAATAATTTATTATTTTTTTAATGGCATAGTTTTGTCAAATTTTTCGCGAAAAAATAAAATATTGTATTGTGTCTATGTCTTTCTCGATACTTTTTGACATTAATTCTAGTGGCTTCTTTTGGACCAAATGAAAATTTGTGTACACATTGCATTTGTGTTAATGATGACCAGATGGTTCGATAGTCTGGAAAGTGAAAAAATAAAATTAAAACTAGACTAAAAAGAGCGTTTTGTTTAAATAATTCAGAACTTTACTGATCTGCTTTGGTTTGTCATATTGATATTATAAATGTTAATATAGTTCATAGAATAAAACAAATATTCGTGCAGTGTAGTATAATATTAAGTATTTATAATTTTAATATTCATAATATATATAAATAATATTGCAGGGAAAATATTATGGTCCAGATATCGATAAAGTTGGGAAAATGTGCAACGCCACTAAAGGTAAAACATTACAAAGGTAAAAGGTAAACCAGTATAATGGTAGTTTAATATTTTGAAAAAATAGATAACCAACTCAAGTCCTATATCGTTTATTTAATTAAACTGTATAAAGAATTTCGAAACTTCGAAAAAAGAAAAAGAAAAACACGTCAATAATATTCAAATTACCATAAAAAAGTCAATTTTTCAATTAATTGGTTAGAAGAGTATATTAATCGTTTTTCTTCAGAAAATTTTAAACATACAAGAAACTTTGTTAATACATTTTTTATCAATAATTTTCCTATTTTGCAATTAAAGTGTTGCACATTTTTATGTAAAAGCTAAAATTTCTGAATTAACAACAAACAATGTTCTTCAACTTTTGCGGCACGTGAAGGTATCATGCAGATACCTACTTTGGTAGGTAGCTATCATTTTAGTATTCACCTAAGTGTTATTAGTATTTTGTTTTAACAATAAATTGATCAGTCCTACTGTACACAGCTTTCATCTATATTAAACTTATATCAACTTGAAAATCGGTTACTTTGACTTGATTACATTTTCAGTGAATAATTGCGATTCGTTCGTGTTTTCGGATGCACTTGACTTATCTATCTCACATGAATTTATATTGCTTTTTAACCTGACTATACTTTACATATAGTTCAAACATTATTTATGGAATTTTGTAGGAGTATTGTGAAAATTTAATTTAGAGTTTCTATAGGTATATTATATCTAATTTTCTATTTGAACATTAATCGAAATTTTATATTTTTTATAATTAGAAGATGTGCAAGTGCTAAAAAATTACGACATACCATCCACAGAAATTGGAAAAGTAATTATTATTTTTATATACTATTGGGAAAAATCCACTATAACTATTTATTTCTATTTTATAACTATGTACAAAAGTCTTTACAGGTAAGATGCGTAATAATAATATTTGAATAGCAATTTATAATGTTCAATGCAATTTATTTGTATACTATTAATAATAATTTAATATTGTAATATATTTAAAAAAAATAAACAGACATACTTCGCACGATGGGTGGGTCACTGTTGTAGACGAGAAGTTGGGGAGGTATAGGGGAAATTTAATGTATATATGTACGCAACGATTAACCATTGCTAGTAAAAAGATTTTGAGCGGAGTTCGGTTGTACATGTTTTAAAAGCTCGTTATACTTACGATTTGAAAATAACAAATTTTGTAAATTTTTCCCCTTTTTTCTACGTTTTTTCCCAGTTTTTTTCATTTATTATCGAAACCCATGGGAAATAAAAAAAAAGAATAGGTACTAAACTTGCAAATCGAAGATTTCTGGTGGTCAATGTGTTCACAAAAAAAAAACCTATACATATATATATATTTATAAATATAATTTTTTTTTTTTTTTTTTTTAGTGTTTAATGAAATGCTTAACCGTAAAACTCGGAATGGTAATTTTTCTAAAAGATAAAATCTTTACATAAATAATCACTTTTAATAGCATATACAGTGTGATTTCTTTTATAATGGAACAGCAATTATTTCAGAGGGTTTTAAGTGAATTTGATTTCTGTTTTTTCTAATCATTATGGAATCATTTAAGCTTTATTTTAAAACTATTTTTAATTTTTTACCCCAAATCTATGTACCTTAAATAAGTGCGTACATTTGATTTTCAAATAGGAACTTTCCTTTTGAATACAAATTGCCTATCTACGAGCTTTCTCTACTCCTCCGGCTTAAACTTTAAACTTTTATAACTCATAAATGGTAAATCTGATATTAGTGTTATGTGTATCAAAAATTCTAGACAAATTTTCTCTATTCAAATATGTGGTCAAAAAGGGGGTTTCTATTTTAAAATCAAAAGTATGCACTTATTTAAAGTAAACAATCTAAAATGATTTAAAAATAAATCTTAACCGATTCCATAATGATTAGAAAAAACAGAAATTAAATTCAATTAAAATCCTCTGAGATAATTGTTGGTTTATGATAATAAAAATCACACTGTATAATTATGGTATAAATGCATGTCATGTTTTTTTTTTTTTTAGGTTGACGCTTTAGGAAAATACAGCAAAGATGGTACCGATGTGGTTTTTAAAGAGTACTGGCCTGAAATGCCATTAAATATAAGATCGGCAATAATCGACAAATGCTACAACGAAGGTAAGGCATTTTTAGATTCTGAGTGTGTCTATTGGTTTAACTATGGTGTTCATTTTTGGAGTGTGTCTATGAGCAAATTTCTATCAGAAATTTTGCTTCGATGTATCAAGTCTAGAATTTTTTCTGAAATTTTATCTAGTGGGTGCATTAGGGATGTCATATATTGATTTTCCAAAGAGTTTATATCATGATTTGTATGAACGGTAAATTTTTATGGCACTCCACGATGTTACCAATTTCATTAATTTTTAATTTTGGCAAATTATGTTTTCTACCAAAAAAATTCCTTTAATCGAAAATTCCAAGAAACTTTTATTATTGGATTTCGGATTTAGACGCCCACGAAGAAAGTGGTTTCTTGATTTTCCAAGTAGTTTTCAAAATGGTTAGAAAGACTAGAAAAAAAAGTAAAATAAAAAAATGACAAATTTATACACTCTTAGGTCATTACGAATTCATTATTTTTACTTTTTTTTGTTTTCCAACAGAAATATTCCTCTACTAGAAAAACAATGAGAGTCTTTTTTATTTTATGTTTTTCAATTTTTTTTTTTGTAGTTTTTTTAATGTTTGAGCAAAATCGAAAAAACCTAGAAAGAACAAGAAAATTTACGAAAATAATACTTTTATTAATTTTAATTTTGTTTTTTTATTGAGAGTCAGTTAAAAATGTTCGTAGACTTGAATGTTTGATAAAAAACTTGTTTTCGTTTTTTTTAGATCAAAATATAATAATATAAAATATAGTTTAATGGTTTTTACTTGTATCCAAATATTGTCTAATCGAAAATAATTATTCAACTATTCAGTATGAGAGGGTCTACCCAAATATAAGAGTATCTGTTATTATTTAGCAACAATAAATAGGTACCTGCTCTAATACTCTAATACTTTTATACTAACAAAAAATTAGAATGGGAGTATTATAAGTATATTAAAACTATCGAGTTTTATTGTATTTTTATTGGTTTTTTTTTTTGTTTCGATAGTAAAGTAACATAAAATTTTGTTTATAGCTTTAAAAATATCGAACGAATTGGGAACTTGCGATTATTACTACAAAATAGAGATTTGTTTTAATTCTGAGTTAAAACGCGTAAGTGGTGTAATGCCTGTTAATAAAATACAATTACTGATGAAAAATGTATTTGTTTTTCAGTACGGTATGTTTTAGAACTAATGTTATGCTATGGAAGAACGGATCTTGCGATTTATAAAAATCGAAATCAAAACGCTCATTGATTGCACACACCGATAATATATCATCACCAAGTCACGTATATGAATTATTATAAGAATTAGTATTTACATACATTTTTTATTTTTCATTCGTTTATTTACACGTCATATAATATTATAGTTTTTAAATTATCCATAATAAATACAGTTTTGTGAATAGCATGCATATTTTAATACGATTATCACCTCACCTAACGTCTAAAATAGTTAAACCCTTCTTCAAATGATTCAAACCTATTTTTGGATTCTTAACATGAATATAATTTCACTTTAGAATTAAAACTTTTGCGACTCTATGTTATAATAAATGTACATATACAGTTATAGAGTTATTTTATTCATGGGAGTCCAACCCACGGCCCTCGAAACCTTTATTATTGCCCCCCCTCTCTTAGAAGACTTATATTAAAAAAAGTCACAATAATATTACAACAAATCGTAATATAATCGTGTACATTTTACGTTTTATAGTTATATAGTATACAATTTATACTATAAAACGTAGGTATATGTGCAATGAGTAACGTCCTACACCATGATTAAATGGAGCCCGCTGAATCGATGCAAGTATCGTGTTTGTATAGCAGCCACAGCGAATTCGAATTTTCGTGGTAGAATATCGCGGAAGTCGGTCATATCACCGCCAAATAGTCATTATTATTAGACGGCAATTATTAATGACTTGAATATTGTCATTATATGAAAGTATGCGTGTTTGTGAATCGGAATTGTCTGCTATGAATTTAATAATATCTAAATCAAGAAACCGTATACACAAGATATTATTGTGCATCAGATTAACCACCACAGGGTGTTCAATTGATATTGAAAAATTGGCTTCTAAAAAACAATGCCAATAGTCTAAATTCTGAATTATAAATATAAGTGACCCGATCACCATAATTATATGTTAATATTAATCTGTAATGCAATAATTTGTGCATTATATTATAATATGTTTGTAAACTAAATGTTCTGTAATAGTTTTTTATTTTTTTTTTGTATTGATTTCATTAGTTGTTTTACAATCATACAAAATTAAAATAATATTATTTGATTTTCGTAACCATATAAAATTAAGATAAATTAAAACTATAAAAACACCATTTACAATGCTGAATGTATTTTAGAGTGGAATACAAGTAATAAATTAATTTAAAAAGTCCAAGTTATAATTTAGTTTTAAGTTTTTAGATTTGATTTTTTACCAAATTATTTTCATTCATACAGATTAAATAAATAACGAGTTGATATTGAATTGAGTTTACTATTTATGTTAATTCCAAACTATATTTGCATACAAACTCGAGTTGGCTCTTATTGTTAATTTATTTCGTGTCACGCAAACACCTTAATTTATCAAAAAAATAAACCAACAAGAACTGTTTTGCATCACATCAAAGTTATTTTTGCAACCATCGTTTCAGCTATTGTTTTTTTCAAAATGGTTTACATTATTCCGTTCAATATAGGATAGTCTTAGTTCCGGCTGTTCCAAGGATACATCAAATAAAAATTATTGTTTACCATATAAATTAAATTATTTCAAGGTTAATAATAATAATACGCGTATAAAACGTACAAAATCACTAAAATTTAAGTTTTTTTTTTTTGAAATCTATAATTATTATAAAAATGATGATACTGTTAATTTTAAATTTGAATAAGTATAAACTTATAAATTAATAAACAAAACAACAAATCACATAAGCTCTAAATTTTATTCAATTTAGAATAAAACAAATTTCTTTCTTGTCATAATAAATATTAATGCAAGTAGTAAATAATAAAGAAATAAGATGAACTTAGTAATTATTATAATACAATACATTATTACACATATCTTAGATTATTATATTGAGATATAAGATATATGAAATGATGATTAAATGTCTGGTTATCAATTTCAATTAACACTTATTATACCTGGATAATTGTTATTCAGTGCAGCCATAAACATTTTTTTCTAGTGCACGTTTTATACTTTTCTGTATTATATGTTTCAGCCCTGAATTATTTTTAAATTTGTATTTAAAAATATACTGTTTAGAATTTTGTCTAAATACGGGATATTTCTAACAGAGATATTTTGAAGGGGGTTATTTTTACAGTGGAAACATTTGAATCTATGATATTTTGACGCATGCGATATATTGAGGAGGAACCATATGGGCTTAGTCCATGACCTAAATCTTACCAAGCCTACTAATATTATAGAATTTGTGTATCACTTACAGCTGAGGAGGTGGAAACCACTAGTACCCTTTTCCCCGGAAAGACGTCACTGATTACACTAGAACGTAAACTAGTGACACGATTTGAATACATCCTAGTCCGCCATTTTTGTGGAAGTTATGGGCGATAAGAACAATTAGTCACTCTTATCAGATCATCATCTTTAATTAATATCCATGAATTTAGATGCCAAATAACAGGACTATTGGTGGCGGAATAAGTGGAATTGGCGACGAAGAAATCAAATTATTTTCATTCTCACAAGTTAAACAAATAACGAGTTTATATTGAATTGAATTTCCTATGCATGTCAATTTCAAATTACATTTGCATACAACTTCGAATTGGATCCTATTTATCGAAAACACCTTAATTTATAAAACAGAAAAATTTTATTTTCGTACTTTTTCTCGTTATTATTTCTACGTATTTTCGTTTTTGTTCAACTTTTAAATAAACTACAAAAAAATTTAAAAAAAAACGATTGTCATAAATTAAATAAAAAATTCAACAAAAATGATCACGTGCAGTTTTTTTTATTAGGGCAATATATCTCGTAGAAAAATGAAAGCGTAAACATATAAAATAGGTAATAAAATCGTAAAGCAGTAAATTTATCAGTTTCATTTAAATTGTTTCCCAGTTTACCTGATTGTTAAAAAAACTGCTTGGTAAATTGAATGACGATCTGGTAAAAAAAGGATTGTTCAAAAATCAATAAAAAAGATCTTTGTTGTTTTTTCTATTGGAACAATATTTTTGGTAGAAAATAGAAGATGTAACAATTAAAAATAATGCGATCCTTGCAATGTAAATCTTTTCGTTTTTTTTCCGATTTTCTCAATTATTATGAATATTATTTCATAGAAAATCAAGAAACTAACTTTCTTCTTGAGCATTTGGATCCGAAATTCAACAAACAAATTCTCTTGGCATTTTTTGATTAAAGTAATATTTCTTGTAGAAAACATAGATTTATAAAATTTAAAATAATGAAATCAGTAACGCCGCGGCACGTTGTATATATTTTTGCCGTTTTACTTATAATAAATTTTCCGATTTTTCCCAAATACATTAAAACCCTCTGGAAAATCATAAAATGACTTCTTTAATCCATCAACTAGTTATAATTTGCTTGCAGAAAAAATGATATTTTCTATTCACGTCGCAGTGAGATTCCGGGTAGAAAAGTTGGTTTCACACCTACTGAAAAAAAAAGACAAAAACACGCATCATAGAAAAACCAATAGATCTGTCGCTACGCTCAGAATCTTAAAAAAAATATAGAAATAATTTAGAAATTTTATAATATAAGATAATCGAAACAACTAAATCATTTTATTTCCGTACATAAACTTTTTTTGGTGTGCAATATTGTGTGGCGTACAAAGGTAAACACATATACTTAGGATTATCGATAATATCAATAAATATGTACCTACCGAAATCGTGAGATTTATACTATATACGTATTATATTTACGATATAAAATCATTATTTAAATGGTATACCAATTCTGTTAGCGGGATATGAATATTAGAAAAAATTAAAAATAAATATGGATAACTGTTTGCTTATATAATTTCTATTTACCGATACGCGAATATCGAATATTGATTTTAATTTATGGTTTTTTTTTTTTCCAATCGTTGCCCATCGAATGAAATTATTTTCATTTAAAATTCGAGTATTTAGATTTTTTTAATAGTATGATGGAGGTTATTACTGTTGTATTTTATTATTTTTCATTATAAATAAATGGATGTTTTTCAAAACACAAACGATCTATATAATATGGCTATATTATTTATACATTTTTAATTAATAAACAATTTGAAAATATCAACTATTTGTCTTGTATATATATATACACACAGTACGTCAAACTAATCTAATTAAATAAATTACAGGGAAGTGTACAATATACCTATGTACTTTTTAAGCGGAAGGTTATTTCACACTAAATCTCGGGAGAAGATCGTTTCTAGCATCGCTTTTGGCCGTCGTATTTTTTAATTTTAACAAGTGTTCGCGAATACTTTGTTTAAAGTTTTTTAATTTCTTCCTTAACAGTCTGAAATCGACGGGATAAAATAAATGCATGTTCGACGGGTAGATATATATTTATATTATATTCTATATGCAAATACTTATAACGCGGGACTGTTATACTCAGTGGCACACCTAAGTTTTTACGCCGCGGGACAAAATCAAATATTTCCGCGCGTCCATTTGCTCGGGTACCGACATCCATAGTGTAAAATGTTCTTTATTTCCTTTACTTCAAACTTGTTTCATCTTTCCTCAAAAAATGTCCACCTAAACCCGTGTTCAATTTTACCGCACCTGGAATCTTGCAGCTCGGGGTAATGCACTTAAATGCGTCATATACTTTGCCGCTGGTTTAGGTGTTTCTGTTTCGATACAAATGTAATAAGTATGTAATATTAAATGTAATAAAAATTAAAATAAACAGTTTTCTCCGTATAAAAAAACTATCGGGCTCGCATTGCTTCGTGGAAAATGTAATAATGAAGTAATAGTAATTTATGTTAATATTAAAAAATGAAGGTTTTATTAAAGTCTTTTTTAAAGTTTATAATACTATGTAATATTACCAATACATATAATATGTGTAGGAACCGAGTTGAAGGGGTTTTACGATCCGATGGGTATACACTACACGTGTTCGCGCCGCGGTATTAAACATATTGTATCTGCCAAACAATAAATTATAGCCTTATTTGAAAACCTCGCTAGGTAGGTAGGTGATAATCAATCACATTGTTTACACGTTCATGCCTTGGCTTTTAACGTTATTAAAATGAAAGAGCGCAGAAAAAAAAAATTCATTATCGAATTTAAATTCACCCGACCGCGTAATTTACTCTGTTGACTTTATAATAACATAGCAAACCGTTATAACCACGTACTCAGTTTCGGTATACACCATATATAGGTACCTAATACACTGCAGTGGCAGTACATAATATCTAATGAGAGCCATTCGCCGTGGGCCGGGGCGAGTGGTTAAATTTTGTTTTCATGCCGGCAGCAGTGAAAATCGTCGTCAGTTCATTAGGTCCGCGCTGTAGCTTTTGTATTTTACACTCGGACGGTTTTCAATGAGAATTCACGGGAAAGTGTAGTATAGCAGCGATCAACCGATCCGTATGGTTTTGTTGAATCATAACCAGAAATCGTAAAATTTAATGGGTGTACGAAAAACGCTATTTTATATAAATTATTATTATTATTTGTGAGCGTTTACCACCTCTCTGTATACCATCTTTGTGTACGGATTAAAATATATCATATCTCTCCGCATTGTTGACGTAGAAAATCGAACGAAAATAAATTCAATTCCGTCCGTTTTCACCCGGCTAAACCACACTCGGAGTGTACATAAAATGATATTATATAAAATAATATATCGCGCATAAATCTATAGTTAAACAAAATTAAATATTATAAAGTAATACGGCCGAATAATAATATTATATTTAAACTTGTGAGTAGCGGTAGATAATTAATTTTATTGGTACGTACCTATATCAACAGATTTATTAAAAAAATGTACTTTTACTCAGATAAAATATCTACAAATATTATAACAAGCTTTTTTCTTCACGATATTTTGCGTATATAATACAATAAAAATATAAACATAATATTTAATTGTTAATTATAGTTTATATTAGCCTATACTAATAATATTAATTAATTAATGTTAATTTTTTTGGTGTAAAATCTGTGTTTTAAAATGTTTGACTCGTTATTTATTGACTTTTCTTAACTCGAGTGTCTTATCATTATTTCTTTAGAGGAGCTAATTTTAAATAAATACAAAAAATCGTTTTCAAATATTTTATTCAATGAATTGGAATTATAAAGAAAAATATTAAGGAGAATAAATTTAAAATATAAAGTGCGAGATTAATTTTATATAAGAATCTTGTTTATGTGCTTAATTTTAATTCATATTTTTTTTTCTTACTTAATACATTTACTTTATTCATTCGATTTTGTTTAATATATCTAAAGAAATATTATGAAATTACTAAATATTGACAAAATATGATTTAAATTTTTTTCCCACAGGCATATCACTTTTTGAAATAACCGGTGTGGTTATTTAAAAATCCTATTTTTAATAGGCTAATCCAGAGATACTGTTATGTCATATATTATACATAGATAAAATAAGTTGTACATTTTTTGTAATATTATGATAAAATTAAAAATCAAATCAATTTAATCACATCGTGGTATTTCAAGATTGAAAATTTAAAGTTAAGTTGATACTGTTGATGGGTGTACCATTGCTGCAGGTAAGATGTTGTGAAGGTAGATGATTATTTAAGGCAATTTAATTTATGTCGTACGGTAAGATAAATCATTTTAAAATGGTGCGATTTCACGACTTCCATAAAATTTTTTATTTTTAATGACTATCAAAAAAATACTCTTCACTAAAGATCCCATAGTATTTTCATAAAAAAAACATATGATAAACCTTGAACACAAAATTTTCAAACATTTTTGAGAGGCCAACAAAATGTGATCCATATAAAATCAAATAAAAGCTAAACAAAACTCGAAAATGTCTAATACCTTGTCATAAATAGCTCAAAAATTACTTAATTGTTTTACACATTTTACCACATATAAAAAAAAGGTTAATATACGATTATTGTATACATTTCAAATCTCCAAGATTATTACCAACCGAACTAAAACAAAAATCAAAATCAAAAATAATAAATCAATGAATTATTAAATACATTTTTCTATTTTCTGACGTTTTTTGCGGTTCCTCCCTCTCCAATTAATAAACAAAAATAATACAAAATTTGTTAAAAAAAAATAAAACACAGTAAAATTATTTCTACATAATATTTCTTGCTAAAGTTAGAAATTACACGGTGTTATCTAATTCCCTCATTAGTCATTCTATGATATAGAATTTTAAAAAGATACGTGTTGCAATTTTCTACTATAAAACCGAAAGATATTATTGAACGGATATTTGTAATTGTAATATATGAGTCTGTAAATAATTTATTATTCAAATGTAACCCTGTAAAATTATTTCGATATAAATTAATTTTTTACGAAACCCAGCGATCTTTATTTATACACTCATGCCGTTTATCATTAATTTAAGTCAAATATTAGCTGATACATTGGAAAACTCGATATAATTATATCGCTTATACGGTACTGTTTAGATAATACAATATTGATGAAACGAAACAAACTAACTACTTACTGAACTCTTTGTTTAATATAAGTAGGTAATATATAATGCAATATTGTAAATGGTAAAATAAGTTGAAGTCGAAACGAAAAAACTATTACCTATTTAAAAGGTTATCAAAAAAAAAAAAAACCACAAGACGAAAGACGTTACCAATCGAAAGTCAAAATTTATAGATGACTAACGTTGATAGAATTACGTTCCGTAAATCGTTTTAACGGGTTTAACACTTTTAATGGGAAACGGGGCCGAAAAAAATTCTGCGAAGCGGTAAATTTATCAGAAGAGTGCTAGAAGCGGTTATTTACCGGGGAAATAAACGACCAGGGGTGAAAAAAAAATTGCCCGGAGATGGAAAACGAAATCTAATTAAGCGTTTTATTATATATGTTTATTTTGCTATGATACATATAAATATTGAAAAGCAACACAATAATAAAACAAAATTATTTTGCGTGGTCGGATACTAAGATTTTTCTTACACGTCAAATTATTATTAGACTAAAACTCTAAGAGACTGGTGCTCAAATTAATTAGACGCTTCTTGTTCTTTGAGTCAGGTCATTACAAAGATAATCCGTTTTACGAGTGCTGATTTCGAAAAATCTTTCTATTTCTGAACCCAATGTTTTGTTCATGATGAAAATGTGACCCTATTAAGTAGACGGATAGCATCAATCTTACAACGGAGTAAATAATTAACACATCTTATGTCTAGCATTTTTCATCTGATATCACAGCTGAGGAGAGTGTGAATTTATTAAAATATAACCAGCGAAATTTCTGAGTGTCAATTTTCTGATTGTTATACCGAATATACGGAGATCGTATTAAAAAATGAAAAACCATATTTTAAGAATTGATCGTACTAACGAGATATGTAATATTTTGAGACAAATGGCTTGGTCGAAATCTGATGCATTTTGATGGATAAAAACAAAAAATGAGTAAGGTATGGAAAGATTTACAAGTCATGTTATACCACTGTCTTCTTAATGCGGAACTGTTTCCATCGTAACGTAAAATATCGTATCATAAACATTCATTATAACAAAGAGAAAATATTATATTGCTATTGTTGATCTGTTAATTTCGATTTTATATATTTTGATCGATACATTGTAGATATACACATTATGGCGTACTTCAGAACAATCATATCGAAAGTATGTACAAATACAGTGTCTAAGTGGATTTTTACCTATTTGTTTAAATATATCTATTGTTTATGTTGTATATTATTCATAATATTAAATTATCTATTTATTATACTAATATAGATAGGAACGTGTGCCAAATCGTTGTCTGGTAATATCCAACAGAGATATTTCCGTTATTCCCCTGCTGTATTTGGCGTCCGTAAAATCGCTACGAGCAACTTGGACACCAAGCTTTTGCCGTATGATACTTTGAACAAATGTATTAAAATGTTTACTAATAGGTATGTGTTTTACCGCAACTCTATATCATTATGGTATAGTATGAATATAACACTATACTGCTTATATTACATTCCATTTATATTTAATAAATCTATTTTAAATACAGTAGAACCTCGATTAACCGTTTTTCTCGGTAAACCGTAAGGCCAAAAAAGCACGTAATATGTTAAAACAACAAAATTTAACCGATTTTTATAATATTAATTATTAAGTATGTATGTAATTGTAAATAATAAAACTTTTTAATAAATTAAAATTAATAATAATAATGTACCAATAAGTAATAGTACCTAATTATATCAATATGTATGTCATAATTACTAAAAAAAAATAATAAATAATATGTATGTATGTTTAAATTTTTGTTGCTCGCTTAATCGTATTTTCGATTATTCGTCAAAGCTCTGGTCTAGAGACTAACGGTTAATCGAGGTTCTACTGCAGCTTCAATTTTAAAAAAAAAAAATTTATAATTATATATTTATATATATATATATATATACATAAATATATTTAATAAAATATATTAATTATAGTATAAACTAACTTTGTAATATTTTTAATTATGTAATTATTTTTTAATTATTGTAAATTAAAGTTCAATTATTTTTGACCGATGTGATTCCCAGGTTGAGAAACACTGTTGTAGATGGTTAAAATAATTAATTGGAAATAATGTTTGTGAATTGGTACGATAGTACAAACTTTAAAACATAAAAAGCTAAAGGTTTATAACAGTCCCAGATAAAAACGTGTGTAAAGTTCATATTTAATGAGCTTTAGAAAATATCTGTTTCTTATTCAAATAAATAAAAAAAGATAAGTTAAATCCTCATTTATCATAATATTCGAAATACTATTCATAATTATGTTCAAATTATCATTAACTGTTAAATATTGAAAAACACATTTCTATGAACACATATTTTTTTTTTATTTTTTTATTTATTTTTATTATTAGATTTTTATTTATAAATTTATTTTTAATTTGATGATTTTAGTTCGGAAACATGTATACTAAATAGTTATCTACATGTATGTTATATTTTTAAAAAAAGTTCGTTAAGGCTATTTTATTATTCAGTAAAATAACTATAGAAAACTTAACTTAAAAAAATAAAAAAAAATAGCTGAATATGTTTCGTACCATAGGTGGCAGCTACTAATGGAGGGAGAAAGTGTTTTTTGTGTATTTAATTTTTTTTTTAATTTCTCAGTATGGAAATAATTTTTTTTTTCTATACATCGATGGTAGAAAGGAAAAAAGGCTTAAGAGATATTTTATTAACTTTACGAATTTTTTCTAATTTTTTTTTTTAAAATTGAAGCTGCAGTAGAACCTCGATTAACCGTCAGTCTCGGGACCAGAACTTTGACGGATAATCGAAAATACGGTTAAGCGAGCAACAAAAATTTAAACATGCATACATATTATTTATTATTTTTTTTTAGTAATTATGACATACATATTGATATAATTAGGTACTATTACTTATTGGTACAATATTATTATTATTTTTAATTTATTAAAAAGTTTTATATATATAATATAAAAAAGAAATATATATATATATATATCACTCCAGAACACGGTCTTAGAAGATAACGTCCTAACTAATAGTTTTTGAAAACTAGGGATTTTTTGGAAATACTGAACGCGTTCACTATTTTAGTGTACGTTCTAAACACTGAAAATAGCAGGGCTCGTAACTTGTAGTTTTACAAATGGTTGCTATATAATCGTAATAATATCCTTTTAAAAACATTCATACATACGCTTAACAAAAAATGTAGTACAATAATGCCAACAAATTTCGAATTTAACTTCTTGGTCAGTTGAAATAAATATACTTGGTCTACTTGGAGACAGCTAAGTCTCTAGGCGATTAGGTTCTAATAAAATAAATATGTAAATGTGCTTTATATTATAATATAATTCTACTATTTAATGTTGTTTAAAAGCTTGAATTATGCTGGTGGAGTGGACAATATGGGCTTCAAGAGCCCTGGACTCTTCAGAGCGCGGGTTTCTGTACTTGGGCATGGGTCACACCTTCATGTTAGCCGTTTATGTAGCAGTGTCCAACAAACTAACGTCCGCCATTATTATAGTATGGTGACTGCAATGTGTTTGGGCCGAGTGCCGTACCTGTGGTGGAAACTGCAGTCCATTGATAAAAAACAGATGTATGTGGACATAGTGCGGGAAAACCGGAGAACCGTGTATCTGACCGGTATGGCAGTGATGGGTCTGTTTGCAACGTTCTTGTTGTACCATATGGAGATGGACCCCGAAACTGGGCGCACACGATTATTATTGTATGACAATACACTGCTGATCCAAGAGGCTGAATCCTTAGTTGAATTTTTAGTGATAAAGATGACTTTACATGGACAATTAGTGAACGCTTCGGATCCCCAATACAAGCGGGTATCCAATCTATTAGTACGGCTGTTGAATGCTAACAAGCACATAAACGCCATTCAAAACCAGTCGTGGTCAATGATAATGTCCGATGATATGAATTATGGAGCATGTATCTGCATGGATAATGGATTGATATTCGTGAATAAAGCTTCAATAATGAGTATCGATGACGATCAGGTGATCTTTATAATTGGAAAAGAGATGAGCCGCTGCACGGGGAGGCACTACAATCAGTTACGGAGCATGATTTTCTTGAGCACGTTAGTCTTTACGATATTGATCACACTCATCTGGGCCACAATGACCACACGGTGGGCCTTATTTATGCATTCAGTGTGCTTCGCCGTTAAGGATCTCGGTGTTACTGTTCCATTCTTCCGCTTACTGGAGAACGAGGCTAACCAGGATGGGATCAAAGCGGCTACCAATGCAGGGATAATCATCGATAAAGACAAGAAAGCCAAATTTACCTACACAAACTTTAGGATCCCTGAACGTTAATGTCCAAGTACCCGATAAAGTAAAGCAGCTTTAGAGACCTTAATATATGTACTGGTCTCTGAGAATTTTAGTACATACATGATAAGGGGGGATCAACTTCACACACGTATTTATAGTAATGTTGACATACAACTCTATCTTGTAAAAGATAAAGTAAGCAAGACATTGCTAAATTTTATGTTTAAGTAAGTTTGTAGTTTTTAATTTATCTTTGATGAGGTATACGGACTATCCTTATATGTTAGAAAGTATGAGACGTAATGGACGCTCGTAAAGTTGGAACCCCATATTATAATATTGACTTTCATAAATATTTTGGAAGTTATTTGGAATTATTAAATAGTTGTTTTCTGGATTTGAAACTTTTTATTTTTTTTATAATTATTCGTGTGCGTGCAAAAAAAAAAACAAGTTTATTAGCCGTACAAATAAAACTAAAACTACATTAATCTTTTATTCGATTATGTGTACATTACCTAACAAAAAATTACATTATTGGTTAATACATGTTAGTTATATATTTTGAGATTTTACGAAAATTGCACAAACGACGGACGAGATCTAGTCCAATTATAATTTTGCTTCGTATTGTGAAACAAATTATTTTATAAATTGTTCCGAGTTTGAGCAAATTTATTTCCGTCTAACAATTTTTTTTTGATTAACATAAATTTTGTAAAATCTGCATTTTATGGCAATTTCATTTGATATAGTTTTGGTTTTATTCATTCAAATGCTTAACTTATTTCTTATGGAAGAAGGTAGTAGTATAGATAATGCTGGATCCGGAATGATGGTACGTAATTTAAAACTAAAATTTTTTTAAGTTGTCAAATAAAACCCATAAACTTTTTATTTGTCTCCACAGACTTGGTCTTGGTTAAAAACCAATTATTTCGAACATAAGTGACGAACATATTCTAGAAAGATAATTATAAATAATACTAGTATAACGTGTGTTGTCGCTTTTATAGTGAAAAAATAAAAAAAATGTAGCAATGTACATTCCAGATTGATTAAATATTTGATTTTCTGAAGGCATTTTAGCCAAGAAAATCCATAAAACTACAAAATTAAAATTGTTATTATTGAAAACTTCGATAAATGGTTTAAATCAAGTATCACCAGTTAGAAATTCCGAACCTTTGAAGAACTATGTGGAAAAAGTGTAAAAAACAGATAAAGCTTTTTAAATAAAAAGTATTAGGAACTAGCTATCTTGTCAGGAAGGACTTTTTTCCCTGTACCAAAATTTACCAGAAATATTCTTGCCCCAAATTTTATAATTATTTTCCGTTAATTTTCTCCGGATGATGCCAGATGTTCAGCTGAAAACTATACTACCTTATTACTAATTTACGTACTCTGATAATTTTACTTGTACACAAATTGTCGACGTCTTATCACACGTAGATATTGTGCCCTTTATCCTTAATTTTAGTTAGTTTGAAATTATCTTACGTTGTTTCTAATGTTTGCTCAAGGGGATCTTTTTGACGACACAGTTCAGCGAATGTTGCTGTGTATTATGTCTTTGAAACTTTACATTGTTCATCATACAAGAGTTGTCTCTAGGGTCTTTTTTTTTTATAAACTGTATTTTATTTTCAATTAATAATGATTTAATATTTTTTGTATATTACATTGAAAAAAAAAATAAAAACACGTACTACTCGTGTACAATGAGAATAGAAAATATATAATCATTCAACAAAACATATCAAATACGTACAGCATGTGATTCATAGTATTGATTCGATCAATAATATCAGAAACGGTATAAATGTAATATTTTGAACCAATGGTTAATAATTGGCTTATTTTAAAATTACAAGACTTATGTTTTGATCCACGTATACCTAATGCAAACCTAAAGGCTATTGAAAATTCCGTTTGGACGTTGAAATCGATAAAACGATTCTATTTTACTCTACCCGACTGTATTGTTATCCTGAAAACCCGTGGTAATCTAAACCTAGGATTTCGACGGTAATAATAATAATATATTATAATTGTTATTATATAACAATAACGTGTTGATTTCACTGTAAGCGTATTGCAGGGGGCATTAGAAATTTATTTTTTTTTTAATTTCACAAGTTAAAAGATGTTCGTCAAGTGGGTCACCATTTTTTATTTTTCCAATGTAAATTATTAATTATAATTTTGAAAAACAGGAAGCTCTGTTGGCCATATGAATAATATTAAATAATTGCTGAATATAGACGTGATCTCCACTGCCATTTGTTTGTAAAGACTGATATACTCAGTAATACGAATAATACATATAGTATACACCGATGAAAAATATACGTTTTTCGTTTAAGTTGTTCTTTATTCATCCAATAAAAATAATATCCTATTTAAGGTGTAAGTATTTTAAAGTGAAATATTTTCCTGGTTATGACACTAGTCCATAATAGCTTTTAGCCCGTAATTACGTCCTTTTTTTACTGACCACTCGTATCGGTATCCGAATTCATTACATTTCACATTACCCGGAAAGACAATCGACCGACCAACACTTAATTTTACAGTCGCACTTTCCTGTGGGATTTATATATATGTATACAAAAAACTTGCACCCTTCCGTTTATCGCTACGGTTTTAATAGGATCCGTCCATCTGGATATCGTATTAATTCGTTCAGGCATTTTCAAATATTCAGGACGTCTCACTGAGATTCGACAAATTAAAAAATTTTGATTTTGTTCAACGTTTTGAAAAATTATTTTGATATTATAAAGCGGTTTAATTTTAATATTAAAAAAGTTTTTTACTTCTACAAAATCCAAGATAGCATCAATGTTAATGAATATATTTGTTGTGGAACAACATTTTGTGTTTCGAATGTTTATTAATAATGATTGATGATGAGTTGCTAGTTTTTCTATATATTTTTTAAAATTAACGAAAACTATTTTTCATCGAAAAATTTGTTGAATCTATTGATATTTTAATATTTAGGAGTGAATTAGTTACAGCAATGTAAATAATTTAAATTATTTTAAACTTTAAATAATTATTGTAGACAATTAACGACTCATGATTAGTAAACATTCGGAACACCAACATGTTGTTTGAAAATACATATATAAAACGGAGCTATATTAAATTTAGCAAGCAAATTTTTAATTTGGTTAGTTTTTTTTTATTAAAAATGTTTATTAAATATAAGAATTTAAGCACAAGGTTCTTCTAGTTGTTATGAAAAAAGAAAAACTTAAACCATATTTAACAGAACAAATGTGATTATATTTGTCAGATACTCTGTAAAATAATATAATATGCACTTATACAAAACTCTGAATGTTTTAATTCAGTATTTTAAATTTAATATATTTGTCATTTTAGTTGTACCCTATAACTGAGTTTTAATTTTTAAATGCGACTTTTTTTATTAACGTCTGCAGACCCTCAGAAGAATATATGTTTTGTATTTTTTTTTCCGAGATAACGATTTGCACGGAATATTGAAACCATAAATTAGTACATATTTATTATTCATGAACATAAAATAGATTTTTTTTTTTTTTAGCGAAGAGGCGGGTAAATCATTTTATATTTTACGTACAATTTAAAAAAATGTACCTATTGGTAATTTTTATCGATTCCCCATACTCCGGATTGGTTCTAAATAATAAATTACCGATTGAATTTTTGATTTATTATTTTTCACAAAACATAATATCCAGTAGAATATTAAATGAAACGAGTATAATAGTACCTATGTAACAGACCGCCCAACCGATATTTAAGGGGTTGTATATAGGCGATTTTAACCTTTTTTTTTTATAAAATAATATAAACATTAATGTTATCGACACAAAAACATTCAAATTAACTTTCAGATGGATATACTTTTTTTTCAAAACATAATATGTTCACGGAATACAGAAAAATATACTACCTATTACCCTTCAAGATGATCATAGAGTTTTAATTCATTCTGAAGATTAAAGACAACAACACTGTTTACAGGGTAGGCGTTTATATTTTCGATTTACCTGACTAACAAGGTAGATATTCAAGATTAAAGAGCTTATTGTTTTTTTGTTTTGTAATTAAAAACGGTCATAACTTTTGTTATACGAGGTGTGGCTATTAAACAACGAGACTGGTTACGAAAAAGTGTTTTATTATAAAAATTATTCTACATTCAAGTGCTCCCCTTCAATATACTCCCCTCCCCTCGCCACACACCGTTTCATTCGTTTCTTCCATTGCTGGAGACAGTGCTGGAAGTCTGTTTTCGTAAAACCATTCAGGAGTTCCGCCGATTTTTGTTTCACCTCTTCCATCGACTCAAACCGGATTCCTTTTAAGGCAGACTTTATCTTCGGAAACAAGTAAAAGTCGCAGGGTGCCAAGTCGGGTGAGTAAGACGCGTGTTCGAGTACTGGAGTGCCTTAAGCGGCCAAATAACGCTTCACGCTTTATCCTGGTGCAAGATCCACGACTTGTTTTTCCACAATATCGACCGTTTCTTACGAACTCATTCGCGCAATGTTGCCAAAACTGTCAAATAGTAATGTTGGTTCACAGTTTGACCCTCTGGAACCCATTCAGTCATCACGATGCCGTTGATATCGAAGAAAACGGTTTTGAATTTGGATTACGACTGAATTGGATTCCGGTGCACTCTTGACCTTCAGAAAATAATTTACGCCACTCAAAAACACGCGCCCGAGATAGGAAATCCTCACTATAGGCCTCTTTTAACAACTTATAGCACTCAGTTGGAGGTTTTTTTTAGTTTAACGAAAAAATTTTACGTTTATCTGTTGCTCTTTTTTTTCGTCACACATGGTTTTCGGCATGAGAAAAAAACACGTTCGTTTCAAACCACTACTGCACAAATACTATAATAGTGACGTGTTTTGGTACGTGCATAGATAAGATATCTAGATACCCAACGCATTACTCTTTTTTATCACTACCCATCTAGGGCGTCCTCTAGGCGAGCAGTCTCGTTATTTAATAGCCACACCTCGTACATA